ATCTATATATATATATATATATATATATATATATATATATATATATCTATATATATATAGATATATATAGATATATACCACTACATTAATTGAATTACCTGGTTTGCTTGCTTCGGTAATACTTCCAGTATGGAGCTCAAAATAGGGGGCGTTATCATTCTGGTCCAGGACTATCACTGTTAGTGGCACATTTTCTTCTGCGAAAGTTCCATCTCTGTACTTTGCGACTCCTGTTAGCTGCATGAGTCACATGGTATTTAGTAACTTGGGGTTACATATATATATATATATTTTAGGAAAACATGAATATTAGCACAGTCTAAAGTTGCTGAAGACCACCAAGTTGAACATGTTTTCCAGTTTAGGATTTCATCAGATGTAATGATTAATTTGAAACATGAAGGGACATTTAACCTATGTATATTTTAAAAATATTTTTGTTAATGGGTGAATTTAAGTAACATAGCATGAGAATCTGCTCCCCTTAAGAGAGAAACATTTCTAGTTAATCCCAAATGGCTTGATTTTTGTTTGTTTATTTTTGATCAGTGATTGACAAGAAGCTTGTTGAGTAGAATTGCTTACAAGTAAAACAATACTACAATACTACATGTAGAACTGCTTACATTATAGGATAGGTATTTCTCACGATCCAGAATGTCGGTGATAGTTACAAAACCCGTATCATGGTCGACCAAAAACAGGTTAATTGGTGGTTTGTTAGCTCCTGGTCCAGAGAGGTAATACTCCACTTTGCCCTTTTCTTCGTTATCTGAGCGAATCTGCAGCAAAAACACAAACAACGGTCACTTTCTGGTCAGCCTTCATCACACTTGATTTCACTGCTGTCCTACTGTATATCTCTGACTATATGAATTGTGTTGTTGCTTTTCAATACACAAATAAAGGCTTTGGCAAATCCTGATGTAACCCTATCCGTACCTTACACCCATCTGCCATTCGGACTGCACACCTATTGCTTATCTAATAGCATTTTAATTTATTTTTAAATACAAATAGTGTTCTAAATATATGTTGTCAAGACAGAATAATGTTAGGTTTACAAAAAAATATTTCAGGAAACTAACCTGCCGTATCACTAACCTAATATTTGACATTCACTACTGGAGCTCATTTAGATTTCTAAACATTTCTTTTTGGTATTTAAGGGGAAATATTTCACCTTGGCAATGAATTCCTTGTGGGTGTAGTCAGTGTTTTCCATCAACTTGGCAGGAGGAAGAATCCACTCTCTCTTCTTCCGAGACTTTGCCTCCATTTCCTGTCCTTTTGCACTCAACATCTAAAACCAGAAATAATCCCACCCCGATAATTAGACGGCACACAGGAAACAGGTGGGAGAAAATTATCTCCTTGTTTTATATGGAATCCAGGTGAAAATCTAACATGAACATTTTAAAAAAATGTCTTTTTCTTCACTCTACGTCCTAAGTAAATGATTGTGTTTCTACACAGGATGTCGTAAAAAAGAGCATGAGGCCATCGCTCTTAGTAACAATCCGTTTTATTCAAAAATAGTAAATGTAGAAAAAAACCAACAACATGTTATGTACATGAAGAGAGCCACAAAGCTGTTGTTTGTTCTAGGAGTGACATTCAAGTCAACATTTACAACAAACTCTACTGGGAGGGTAAACGCTCCAACACTCAGTGTGAAGTGACAAACAAAGTAAAAGAAAACAACTTCTCTTTTTATGTATGAAGACCCTGAAGGCTGATGACATCAGCACAGTCATCAGCGAACTGACAGATCAGTTCATCGACAGGTCTAATCATCCGGTGGCTCTGAGGCAATCGTTTTCCCTCTGCTGTAGGTCAGCCGTGCCACCAGCCTTGGCAGAATCATCAGAGCCTTTAAATAAACCACTATCACCAAACTCCCGGGTCGTGAATCCGTGACTCTGATATCATTGACGCTGCAGACGACATGACTTTCATCTAGTTTTTTCCCACAAAGACTTTTATCTTCTCTTCTTACTTGTTCAATCAACACTTTTTATGCACTGTCTGCTGTCGATTGCTGGGGGGAAAGCCAGGTTTCATGAATCAAGTCTCAACCTCTTCAATGGGGACTTTTAAAAATAAACATGTTCAAAAAGGTTATAAATAAACTAATATGGCCTCTGGTTACTGGTTAGTTAGAAAAATGTTTATTTGGTAAATAAATTGAATTCAATTCAATTTTATTTATAGAGCACGTTTCATACACAAGGCAAACTCAATGTGCATGGTGAAACAAGGCAAACTCAATGTGCTTTACAGTTCAATGGTTAAAAACCATTAAATATCAAGTTTCGGTAGTTTCATGGCGAAATGAAAAAGTCGTTGTTAAATTCTCCACTAGAAAATTATTTTTGAGTTGAGGTACACTTGGATTGCAGTGCATTACTGTATCAAACTCAAGGCCTGTGTGTCAGTTGAGCTCGTCAAGTCATTTCAAGTTGTCTGTGAAAGTCATCAAACTGACTTACACAATAATAATAAATAATATAATAAAATAATATAATAAAGTCTATGCTGTCTCAACAAATACATTCCAGGTTTATGATCTAAGGAACGACATCCCTTCCCTGGAATGTAGTTTTACCACACGGGCGTCTAACGCTAAGTGAAACATCAGTTCAATTTTCAATGAAGACGACGGGCAATTCAAAATTAAAAAAAATGGGCCAGGACTATTTATAGTTTTCCAAGTGCAGTGGATTCCCGAGATACAAGTCTAATCCCTTTTACAACATCACTCTTGTCTCAATCCATTCGTATCTAGATCGAATTTTCCACATTTAAAAGAACTAAAAACCAATTCATTTGTTCCAGCCCCCCAGAAATATACCATTCATTTTCCCCTCCAGCTAAACATCACAAACAGATATAAACACATATATTGATAATATAAAATAATAGTAACTAAGAAAATATTTTATATTTTTGTTATAAAAAGTATTATATAGGGTAAAAGGGAGTAACTAAGCGAGGATAGAGTGAGGAGCACGGTTGAACATTCGTAACTAGATATTTCCTCGTATCAGGAGCTAAATCTTGCAATAGTTGTAGACTATGTAGACTAATGAAATACATGAATTTCAGGAAGCTGGTATCTAGGGGGTCCGCTGTATACCATACTGCTCCAGGCACTACCTTATGACTGTAGAGAATAAAACAAAATGCTGTAGGATCATGTTTTCCAGATATTCCCATCATGTAACTCAGCTGTAAGGGTTGCGGACTGGTGTTTAACTGATGATGCATTTCATTAATGGCAGTTTTTCTTTATTCCTTGTCCTTGTATAACCTCACTCTCAGTTTGCAGTGCACAATTTCTAGGATGTGGCATCATTATTCCTCACCAGTGCCAACTTGTTGCACTCATGTCAGTTTTTTACTCACTCCTGTGAACCAGCAGACGTGTTCCTTGTTTGACAGATTAAAAGTCTCAATTTTTGGCCATTCAGTTTTTTACCTTTTTTTTTATGAGGTTATATAAAAAAAATTTAAGAAAATTGTCAATGCATTGCAGCTTTCACTAATGTCTATTGTTACCGTGAAAATCACGACCAATCAAAAACCCTTTCATCCATTTACGGTTCCCTAATTTGAAAGTGCATCAGTATTCACACAGGTGCAGGAGCAGCGGCAGGAGCGCAGTACTCACCATGTGCAGCAGGAGCAGGACCAGCATGAGAATCTGCTCCCCTTAAGAGAGAAACATTTCTAGTTAATCCCAAATGGCTTGATTTTTGTTTTTGTTTTTTTTTATCAGTGATTGACAAGAAGCTTGTTGAGTAGAATTGCTTACAAGTAAAACAATACTACAATACTACATGTAGAACTGCTTACATTATAGGATAGGTATTTCTCACGATCCAGAATGTCGGTGATAGTTACAAAACCCGTATCATGGTCGACCAAAAACAGGTTAATTGGTGGTTTGTTAGCTCCTGGTCCAGAGAGGTAATAATCCACTTTGCCCTTTTCGTCGTTATCTGAGCGAGTCTGCAGCAAAAACACAAACAACGGTCACTTTCTGGTCAGCCTTCATCACACTTGATTTCACTGCTGTCCTACTGTATATCTCTGACTATATGAATTGTGTTGTTGCTTTTCAATACACAAATAAAGGCTTTGGCAAATCCTGATGTAACCCTATCCGTACCTTACACCCATCTGCCATTCGGACTGCACACCTATTGCTTATCTAATAGCATTTTAATTTATTTTTAAATACAAATAGTGTTCTAAATATATGTTGTCAAGACAGAATAATGTTAGGTTTACAAAAAAATATTTCAGGAAACTAACCTGCTGTATCACTAACCTAATATTTGACATTCACTACTGGAGCTCATTTAGATTTCTAAACATTTCTTTTTGGTATTTAAGGGGAAATATTTCACCTTGGCAATGAATTCCTTGTGGGTGTAGTCAGTGTTTTCCATCAACTTGGCAGGAGGAAGAATCCACTCTCTCTTCTTCCGAGACTTTGCCTCCATTTCCTGTCCTTTTGCACTCAACATCTAAAACCAGAAATAATCCCACCCCGATAATTAGACGGCACACAGGAAACAGGTGGGAGAAAATTATCTCCTTGTTTTATATGGAATCCAGGTGAAAATCTAACATGAACATTTTAAAAAATGTCTTTTTCTTCACTCTAAGTAAATGATTGTGTTTCTACACAGGATGTCGTAAAAAAGAGCATGAGGCCATCGCTCTTAGTAACAATCTGTTTTATTCAAAAATAGTAAATGTAGAAAAAAACCAACAACACGTTATGTACATGAAGAGAGTCACAAAGCTGTTGTTTGTTCTAGGAGTGACATCAAGTCAACATTTACAACAAACTCTACTGGGAGGGTAAACGCTCCAACACTCAGTGTGAAGTGACAAACAAAGTAAAAGAAAACACCTTCCAGATGGGCTACATAGTAACTTGACTCACTGACATCAAAACAAAACCAAGAGACTTCTGGGATGAATATTTGACTTCCATTTTTGCCTTTGTTTACAGTAAATCTCTGGGTCAGATTCTGTTGAGGAACTATTTGGTGTGTTTTTATTTTTTACACTTTTCTTGTGCAAGACCCTGAAGGCTGATGACATCAGCACAGTCATCAGCGAACTGACAGATCAGTTCATCGACAGGTCTAATCATCCGGTGGCTCTGAGGCAATCGTTTTCCCTCTGCTGTAGGTCAGCCGTGCCACCAGCCTTGGCAGAATCATCAGAGCCTTTAAATAAACCACTATCACCAAACTCCCGGGTCGTGAATCCGTGACTCTGATATCATTGACGCTGCAGACGACATGACTTTCATCTAGTTTTTTCCCACAAAGACTTTTATCTTCTCTTCTTACTTGTTCAATCAACACTTTTTATGCACTGTCTGCTGTCGATTGCTGGTGGAAAAGCCAGGTTTCATAAATCAAGTCTCAACCTCTTCAATGGGGACTTTTAAAAATAAACATGTTCAAAAAGGTTATAAATAAACTAATATGGCCTCTGGTTACTGGTTAGTTAGAAAAATGTTTATTTGGTAAATAAATTCAATTCAATTCAATTTTATTTATAGAGCACGTTTCATACACAAGGCAAACTCAATGTGCATGGTGAATAATCCCTTTTACAACATCACTCTTGTCTCGATCCACTCGTATCTAGATCAAATTTTCCACATTTAAAAGAACTAAAAACCAATTCATTTGTTCCAGCCCCCCAGAAATATACCATTCATTTCCCCTCCCCCTCCTAAACATCACAAACAGATATAAACAAATATATTGATAATATAAAATAATAGTAACTAAGAAAATATTTTATATTTTTGTTAAAAAGTATTATATAGGGTAAAACGGAGTAACTAAGCGAGGATGGAGTGAGGAGCACGGTTGAACATTCGTAACTAGATATTTCCTCGTATCAGGAGCTAAATCTTGCAATAGTTGTAGACTATGTAGACTAATGAAATACATGAATTTCAGGAAGCTGGTATCTAGGGGGTCCGCTGTATACCATACTGCTCCAGGCACTACCTTATGACTGTAGAGAATAAAACAAAATGCTGTAGGATCATGTTTTCCAGATATTCCCATCATGTAACTCAGCTGTAAGGGTTGCGGACTGGTGTTTAACTGATGATGCATTTCATTAATGGCAGTTTTTCTTTATTCCTTGTCCTTGTATAACCTCACTCTCAGTTTGCAGTGCACAATTTCTAGGATGTGGCATCATTATTCTTCACCAGTGCCAACTTGTTGCACTCATGTCAGTTTTTTACTCACTCCTGTGAACCAGCAGACGTGTTCCTTGTTTGACAGATTAAAAGTCTCACTTTTTGGCCATTCAGTTTTTTACCTTTTTTTTTATGAGGTTATATAAAAAAAATTTAAGAAAATTGTCAATGCATTGCAGCTTTCACTAATGTCTATTGTTACCGTGAAAATCACGACCAATCAAAAACCCTTTCATCCATTTACGGTTCCCTAATTTGAAAGTGCATCAGTATTCACACAGGTGCAGGAGCAGCGGCAGGAGCGCAGTACTCACCATGTGCAGCAGGAGCAGGACCAGAAAGCTCATTTGTAGCCTGAGTCGAGCCATGAGGACTGGGACATCAAAGCATTTGATGTCAAGGTCCGTCTCAAGACTAAAGACTAACAAGACTAAGCCCTTGGATCAAACTGGTTAGCCCTAAATTATATCTGTTTAGGACACACCTACGTATGTTTTAGCTCCATAGCCCTTCCTCCGCTGGACTTGACGTATCGATACACCTGGATGCAGCCAACCTCCACCCACCTCCCTTTACTGTACGTGTGCTGCAACTGTCACTGTCACAAAGGCGTGTCTGCTCGATGCTGTAGGGTTGAGTTGCAGAGCTGTAGAATTTTAAAACATCTTGACGTCTGGCCCAACGGTAGAACCTAATCTAAATTATCTAATGTACAGTAACAGACAGGTATCATGTGATGCAGAAACACCACTCTAAGACAAAAACGAATCTAATATCACAGCAGAATGTCTCAGTAACTAATCTAATGACTTGAGATTTTTACTTTAAAAACATTTTGTCCTTTGCTCCTATTTTTAGAAATTCAGATTAATTTGCAAAAACACTCCCAAACATCGTTGTACCTTCATTAGTGAAATACAAACATCGTAAATAAAGACCGGTTCATATATAAATAAATATACATTATTTAACAGAGCAGTAGATCTGTGTTGTGTACTTCAGTAGTACAGTTCAGTAGTACAGCTTATCTTGTTCAGCAAATATCTTTACGTCAATAATACTATGGATACAGCAGTAAAGAACAAAGACGAATGAAACATTTGAATTGAAAACACTGTTCCCTGTTCTCCTGTAAACAACACGTCACTTTAACTGTTTAGAACCATTTCCATGTTCCAGAAGGAGAAGAGACGTTAGTGTAGTCAGAGCTAGTGCTCGTCGTTCACAGAACAAATCTTATGGTATCTGTTGCTCCTGTCCTCGCCCCTGATGTTGAAACTCCTACAAACTGCTGACATTGTTGACTTAGTTAAATAAACTAACCCATGAGGACAGTGAGATGTTGAATATCGGATTAAGTATAATATAAGGGTACATCCCTAGAAACCGTTGATGTTCGGGGTGTCGATCATTTATCAGCTTTTTTTTTTTCAAACTAATCAGGTTAAAGAACGTACAGTACATTCCCTTTCTGTTAGTGACTGATTTGGTTTCTTGGCGTGACTTCATGACCAAAGTTCACTGATCCAATCACAAACTGCCCTCATATCTCCGCTGTCTTTCCACAGCATCTCGGCTCCGTGCCGATCACAGAGCAAAACATTTCCTCGGAACGACTCTATGAAAAATATTTTAGCTGAACTTTATAAAACCAAAACAAGGCCAGTTTTTATCTTCTGAACCTATGGTTGACAGACGACGACAATGTGGCTCATGTTTAAGTCCTGGTTCTGTTTACTGTTGTTGTGGTGAAGTTTTTATACCCACTTACTTTAAAATAAAATCTGCTCAATCCCAACACAACTGAATTCTACCTTTGTTGTCAGTACACTAGGCAGTTCGACTTCGCCGACACTCCGCCCACTGCTCACTGACTTCCAGTCTAATCAACATCCAAACAGCAACGGAAAAACTGATTGTGAAAAAGTTGGTTCTGTTTATGCTGAAACCAGTGTATTGCCAGTTGGTCAGTGTTGGGCTTCACAGCTAAGGGGAGGGGCCGCAGCGCCTGCTTCACATAACACATGATTACAACAGTAACTCACAGAGTGAGATGGGGAAGGATGGGGGAGGAGCACTCAGTCAGGTTTAATACTGTTGATTATCAGTGTTGACGATGTGAAGGACTTTTTGGTTCAATAAAGTCATTCTAGAGAACGGAACAAACAGGTGGAGGTCGGTGATGCTGCATCCCAGAATGGTGGGTCCCTGGTCCTGGTCCTGGTCCTGGGTTTTTCCCCACTTCCCCACTCGAGTGTTCCACGTACAGGCTCAAAGTTTGACATGAATTAAAAACCCAAAAATGTCCGACTGAGGTGAGATAATATTCAATTTGCTTTTAAAGTCCAGTTCTACTCCTAGTCTATGTGTGTCAAACTCAAGGCCTGCTGGCCAAATGCGGCCCTCCAAATGATTTTGTGTGGCCTGTGGGAGCATGAAAATTTTTTTATTTGCCCTATAATAAAATCAATGCTGTTGAGTTTCTTAACTCGACCATCTTTTTATTACACAACACAATGTACAATATTTGTAACTTGAAAAAATAATAATCAATCACTGAAACATGTATTAATACGTTATGGAGTAGTTACAGCTACACAGTCTTACAGCTACAACTGGCCCTTCAATGATGTGGCACCCCCGGTGAAAATACAACAGCACATCTAAAACCACAATAATACAGAATAAAGATTCTCACCAAACCCTCATTCACTGCCACCCTCACAAACAAACACACCTGCCACTGGTCTGTGGAAAAATAATCCTCCAAAAAAACAGGTCTGCAGTGACGTAGATCTGAGTCTGATTTCTCTGGAAGAGCTTGGTTTATTTAATGCATGACATCGTGACAATGGAATGGTTCCAAAGAACTAGATCTCTCAACATGATATCTGAGATTTCCTTTTGCAATTTTCCCCAGTAATGGAAATCGTTAATGACAGGTTTAAACCCAGTGAAGTTTAAATGTAAAGCCACGATCTCAGTCATGTAAAAGCTGTTTGCTCTCTGCTGAGCGTGGGGGGTGGGGCTAAAGGGTGTGGGGGTGAAGTTTGGGCGACAAAGACATGCCGAGTCATAAAACACACCCTGTATATTACATTCTAGTGAACCTGAAAACTGCAGTACTTGTTTTCCTTTGATAAGAAACACATGACGGTAATTCCTCAGGTTGATTAAAAAACGGTGAAAAAAAAAAGGTGTGAAAAATACAAAAAGTTGACGATAAATGTCAACGCAGGTCACCAGAGGTACTGCAGCAGGACTTTTATGATACAATTTTGGTTTCTTTGAAGGCTCTGGCGTACAGAAACAAAAAGTATTAAACAATGGTACTATGAGTTTTACTGTGAATGGTTGTTTATTGTTTTTGTACATGGCCAATGTGTGGCCAAGAATCCCTAGGTTTCCAGTAGCGCCCTCATCTGGGCAGTACACATGCCACAAACAGAGACAGGTTTATATGTAAACATCAATTACACCTCACTGCCCCTCACTGCTGCTCAGCCGTCAGTTACTCACCTGACATTTTTAAAGGCTGTGACTCGTCCATCGTAACAGAACTGATTGACCAATTTAACCCCCCTGGTCTACCTAAGGTGCCCGCGGGGTAAAAATAAAACTAGTCAACAAGAGGGTCAAGAATTGTACTGTTACTGTGCTTTTTGAATCAGTTACACTTGACATGTGTGTAATGACGATAAACCCAAGTATTGCATTAGTGGGTTTTTATTATCAGAGGAAAAGTGCCATATGCGGTTCATGTTTGACTGAAAAGGAACAGAGTTTCTGCATACAACTGATGACAAACCCAAGTCCTGTACTCCTGGGTGAAATCTGCAGTCTGAATATATATATATATATATATATATATGAACTAGGACTTTGATTTTCTTGTAATTTTTCATATTAATAATCATATTTCTTGGCTTAGTGACAGATAAACCCAGGTGTGAAACACTGTTGTTTTTTTTTCTTTCTTTCCCAGCAGTGAATACAAAACAGGTTTTGGATTGTTGACTGGTCATGATTAATCATACCTAGTAGTGATTAATCCACAGCTGTTATGTGAATATGGAGCACTAACACGTCCTCGGTTTTATGTTATCAGATTGACCAGGTGTAACTTCGCTCTCTCAGTGTTTGACAGACACAGAAGAATGATTAACTGACAACAGGATGGGCGACGGACACAGAAATGTAAACAAGGAAGAGGAAGAACACGACAGAGGTCACTGTTCCTAAGGCCAATGGCGGTTGGATATATTTGTCATGTCTGTCTGCCTCTCCACCCTCCTGTCTGCCTCTGCCGGGGTAATCACGCTCACCTGTGTCCTGTTCTCCTCTGGTGATCAGTGTCATTGGTTTCACCTGGTCCTGGGTAAGTACCCTTTCCTCTCTCCCTCCCTCACTCTGTCTTTGTTGGTTTGTTGTTGTTCTGTGTTCTGAGTGCAGCTTCTTTAATTTCACTTATTCTTTCACTTAGTCTGTTCTTTGTTTTTGTTTCTAACTTGTACAAACAAGTCAATGCAGCAGCTCAGTTGGAGAAACTGAAATCACACACTATTTCTGACAATTTTTCACCTCGTCCATAAATCTTTTCTGGTCTTCACTGGAATTTCCTCTTGTCTCGCAGCTGCATCTCTAACATCCTTTTGTATTTTGACACCCTCTAGTGCTTTTTTCGGGAAATGCATATGGTAGCACAGAAATTACTTTTTAACTCTTAATTTTTTTTTTTTTAATTCGGTTTGATTTACATTAAATTTAAATTGTTTCATTAGCAAATCGTTGTATCAGTTCAGTGTCTTCAGAATCTGAGACAGAATCACAGCTTTTATTGATGACGTGATGACAATGATTTGCAGCTGCTGACCTGAGACAGGACACAGGAAAGAATGACAAGTAAACAGTAATCTTATGTGATTCAATTTGGTTTTTAATGTTTGTAATTTGTTTGGCTTTACTTTGTATTGTTAATATTAACTCAGTAATATTTATTCCTCCTTTCTTCTGTTATCATTCATAACATCTTCACTCTACTTTGTAACAAAACAAAGGACGTAGTGCAAGTAGAGATGAGTCAGCATTAATTATTTTTATTTATTTATTAAAAATCGGTATGCTCAACAGGGACAGGGCATGACTTGAACCTGTTAGATTTAAATCATTAACAGTTAAAAACCTCAGTAAAAACAAAACGAAAACAAAACTGTACAGCAAAATCCAGAATCTTTCTTCTCATCTTACCACAGAATGTATAAGCATGGAAAGAGATTTATTTAAAAATGTCACACCAAAAAAAACAACCTAAAGAAACAAAAAACAAACAGAGGAGCTGTAAACTGTTATATCACGCTAACAACCTGGAGAGCTAACAGTTTATTATGCAGTGACATTGATGTTACTGTTGTTGTCAACAGCAGCTACAACATTATGGTTAAACTATTAGCACATGCACACCTAGACCAACATGTATACACCCCCCTCCATCCCCGGTCTTCCACAGGTTTAAAGTGAATCTTATACATTTACACACAGACTGTATACTACATTCTGTAAGTATATGGTACCTGTAAGTACCATAGAGTAGATTTGGGGTTTTCATTTGTTACTCCACTCTGATAATAATATATCGGAACATTTCAATGTTTCAATTCTTTCTGTACGATGCTGTGTTAAATGAGAATGTTAGTGGATCTTAACATATCGCACATTTCTGTTGCTGGAGTTCTGACTTTATATATTTAACACAACAGAACCCATGACAGGAAAGATTGGTCCCGCCTGATTGGTTGAGTCATTTGACTGTGCTCTTTGGCTTTAGTGTTCCTCAAATATTATTACAAATATAATTATATAATTACTAAATTAAAGAAGGCAGTGCTTGTGAAAGTGGTCCAAAAGTAGAGGGCAGGGCCCCTCAAGGGGACACAGGTCTGTAGTTTCATTGAGTTTTAGATAGAATTCCTCTATCTAGAAAAGACAATGTTGATGTTTCCATGTACTTGTAATGATATTTTTAGCAAATTTAAAATTAAGAGTTTTCTAGTGCTCGACTATGTGTCGGATCTTGGATTCTCTTGCTTGTTCTTAATGACAATCCTTGCTGCCCTCTAACAGCAGACCAATATGTTACAAATGTTAGCAGTTCTGTTATCAATGCTCATCTCTCCTAGCAGTAAACACAAACTGAGGTTTTGGCTGAAGAAGGATCAGTGCATTTAGTAAAAAATAAAAAAAAAGACAAAATACTGGACAAAGTCAACCATCGAGTTATCATGAGGCTGCCAACATGTACACTGAATGATTAGGTATCAGGGTGACTGTGAACTTCAGGCATTATCTACAACAACTACAGAGGCGACGAGACCGACAGACAAGTTTCATCGTTTTGGTGATCGCCCAAAGTCTGTCGTAAGGAAACTGTATTGAGCAGAAGCTGCAGTGGGAACATGCAGACACATGAAAGTGCATTCCTCATGAAGCTGCTGTAGCACATCCTCCACCATTAAACTGACAAACTCATGAATGAGTCCTACTCATAATAAAATCCTCAGACAATGACTTGGCAGAGAGTTTCCAAAAAGGCATCCGAAGTCGTCTTTTCTTAAATCACCCTTTTTTCCCTCACGACCTCCCTGGTCTCGTGCACCACCTTTTTGCGGGTAGACGGTTTGGTGGTGACCACTGTGGCGGTGGAGCCCACCAGGTTGCTCTGAGATCCCATGGTTGTGCTGCCTTTGCTGTAGAGGACTTTCTGAGAACCGGATAAATCCCTGAGCCTGGAGAGATCTCCAACCTCCTGGACCAGTTGTCCTCCACTCCCTGCCGTGCCTCCAACCACCATGACTCTTTGGGATGTAGATGGTAGAGTGCCTCCCCTTATGAAGGTTGTCTGGCCTTCTTTCAGGACTTTCACGGACCCTGCAGGGACCTTATCCTCCACAACCACCATGGCCTGGGATCCAGAAAGGTTTCCAGCACGGATCAGGTTGGTACCTAGAGCCTGAACACCACCACCCTCCACCAGGACCATTCCATGCCCGGGGTATTGTCCACCTGACATCATGGTCTGCCCCTGAATGACCATACCTTGGGCAGGTGCGGTCTGGCCACTATTGACCAGGACCATGCCTTGCATGTTGGCGGCTGGTGCCTCAGCCAGCAGCACAGTGTTGGACATTTGTGGCTGGACAATGTAGTGCATGGGCTGCATGACAGGGGTGGTGGTGTAGTAAACAGGCTGCTGCTGCTGCTGCAGTAAGACTACTTGACCTGAGTTTACCATCTCACCCCTCTCTGTGGTCACCCTTTCCTTCACCATTTGAGATTGTTGAGACGTCTCCTTGATCACAGTCTGTTCTTTCTTAGTGACACTTGGCTGCAGTTGAGGTAACGCTGGCATCTGTGGAGGAATTACCGGAGCTGAGACAAAGGTCTCCGTGTTGGTGGTCACCTTTGCCTTCGGCACAGGAATGAATTCTTCTCTAAATTCAGGTTGGATCTCTTTGCCCTGGCACACCTGAGCCAGTTTCTTGAACTTCGGTCCAAGGTCGTCAAGAAATTGCAGATCATTTTCTGACTCCAAGAGGCTGCAGCAGCCCACTGAGCCAGCAGTGGAACCCTGTCCTTCGTAGTCATAAACCAACAGATTGTCCTTCACTGCGAGGTTCTCACCTCCATTGGCCATTTTCTGTATTAACAGAAACATTGAACAATTAAAGTAAAGTGAAAGAAAAGAGAATCGACTTTTAGCCAATGACAGTTAAAGGCGGAGGTTGGTTAGATTCCTTACCTGAGTGTAATACTGTTTCAGGAACATGTCTGGCAGAGCCATACCATCAAAGATTCCACCTCCTCCAAATCCCACTGCTGAGTCACGACCTTCATACGCAGAATAAATAGCACCACCTCCACCTCCACCCTGGTTCATCATGCCCCATGAGTCTTCTCGTAGGTTATGTGCTGCTAATCCATCTTGATAGACATATCTGTTCATCCCATCCATGGAGGTCACGGATTTCTGGAAACCCAAAGCTTGCCCCATTCCTGAAGTGTTGGCATCTACCATCATATCACCATCCATCTGAGTAGGAATGTTCATCAGTGGCATTTCCTACAATGGGGGCCAAGAATCCCAATGTTTGGTTATTCCATCATCAGATCATCGGCAAAGTTTTACAATTCCACCAATAAATAAGCAAACACTTGTCAACACTTCTGTCCTTACTGGTTAGGAGATGGACAATAGACTATATGTATATGATAAATGGATCTACACCCACCATAGGAATGGACTTACTCTTACCTAAACCTACGCCTAACCCTAATCCTAACCCCAACAGCAAATAAGCAGCATTATGTCCACACTTCTATCCTACCAGTGAAGACCTGGACCACAGACCAAACATAGGCATTTTGTTTATTGTTTATTTTTGTACCAAGGACTAGTCGGCCGGTAATACCCCGCCATCATTGAAGGATCGTTACATTTTCCAAATAAAACATCTTTTAGATTTTCTTCTGCTAGTATCAGTCTGAATGACCTGTTGTTTTGAAACATTCACAGATTATCTTTGAATGAAAGAAGTAAAGAAATATGACTGGATTCTTTTTGAATGAAGTAAATTAGTAAAACTGATTTTTTCACTGTGGCCCACTTAGGACCGGGGGTTGGGGACCCCTGACATATAGTAAAAAAGCATAGAGAAGAACCTCTTCTTCTTACCGTGTTCTCTCCCTGGCCTTCTGTGTGGTAGTTAATGAGGTGTGATTTTGTGTCAAAAGGCATCTCTGCAAACCCACCCGGCAGACCCCCGGCTCCACCACATTGGCAAAGGAGCAGTAACAGAGGGATGACTGTAAAAAAGACAGTTCTCTGTTTAATGTACTGTATCTGTGTATATACAGATGACACCATTGGTTGATGTTACACCTGCATCAACCACAGAAATTGTAGCTCACGTCCCACTTACGTGCCAACAGCAGAAGGCCCAAAAACAGCAGCCCGATGGCTGCAGGACCCAGCTCCGCCCCCTTACTGGGCTGACCTTTGGTTCCCAGTTTTCCACACCTGATTCCGTCCTCACATGTACAGACTTGGACTTTAACTTTCTGCGGGTCAGGACAGGCCTTTCCCTGCTGGTCCTGCACCAGAACTTCCACTTCATAGAGTCCAGGCCACATGTTCTCCATGAGCCTCAGGATGGCAGACGTATCTACAGACAATTACAAGGAAATGAAATGAAAAACAAATATAAACAATATAAACACTAATCAATTCTTTGTTTATGGAAGTGCAGGATTTCCTCACCGTTATTATGTTCCGTCCGCCACTTTCCCTGCGTGCCTTCTGGGATTATTTCAAAGTCGAAAGGAGCCCCATTAGGAGATGCGTCCTCATCTGTAGCAGTCACAGTGACATGATCCTGGGGGGTGCACATGGTCTTCAGCTCACTGCTCAGTGTGGGGCAATGGTCATTAAAGTCTTCCACCTGAATGGCGACTGTGCCAGTGACTGTTTTCCCAGCCAAGTCTGTGCGCAATGAAAGAAAATCAATATTATTTTTTATTTTATTTTTTATGACTATTATTTATTATTTTCATAAAAATAGAATACGGACAGTAAAAACAGGACAGGTGAAAAATTTAGCCAAGGCTATGTTAGCTTATGGGCTTTTATGGCTCATAGTGGGTATCCAGTGGATGGAACACACATTTTACTAAAACTGTCTGTAATCTTTAAATCTATGTCCCAAAAGAATAAGGTTGCTAATACAAGTGACCGAAATGAGTTTTCCTCCCGGGGTGGCAGGGGTTTGCCGCAGAGATAACGTGAGAAGCTAAGTCATCGAGGGACTCGGGGTAGAACCACTGCTCCTGAGCATAGAAGGAAGCCCCCTGAAGTGGTTTGGGCACCTGACCAGGACACTACTTCCTATAGAGGTTGTCCTGTCACGTCTAACTAGAATGGAGATCTCGGGGAAAGCCCAAGACTAGGTGGTCTATATGTCCACTTTGACCTGGGAGTGCCTTGGGACACCCCAGTCAGAGTAAGCCCTGAGGAAAGGGAAGTTTGCTGCCCCAGTGACCCGATCCAGGATGAGCTGGATGATGGATGGATGTCTATAAAGTTTGGGCCTTCTAGCCAAAATGTGCCAATATTCTGGCTATAAAAATGGTCTGCACCCAAAAATACCTCTGTGAGTATAAAAACGTACCGTCTGTAATACAAAGGACTTTGGCAATGTACGTCCCATTGACCAGGTACGGAGATTCTCGGTCAGGCATCTTGTTCAGTTTGATCTCTGCGGTCAGTGGGTCGATGGTTAGCCAGTTGTCCGGATCAAGACCCTTGGCATACCTGTAGATAGAAAGGTATCCATAATTATCATAAATGACCGTGGGAACAATGATGGACAAAAAGTAATCTTTATATTAGTTGATCCACTGACTTGACATTTTCAGCAGGTTTTCCAGTGTCTTCATCGATTGCGGGATAATGAGCGATGACATCGTTGATGTTAATGGTGGTTTCTCCCTCAGAGATGGGGATAGCTTTGATTTTAGGAGAAAAGCTGGGGCCCTCAGGGACATTCTTCACATTAATCTTGATGGGGTAGGTTTTGTATCTGGTGATGTCTGTACTTGAATAGCTTCCTGCACCTCCTCCACCACCTCCACCGCCGCCACTGCCTGCACCTCCTCCTCCACCTCCTCCTCCTGATCCAGATCCAGCTCCACCACCAGCCCCGCCCCCCGCCCCCCCCCCCCCTCCCCCTCCTGATCCAGATCCAGCTCCACCACCAGCCCCGCCCCCCGCCCCCCCCCCCCCTCCCCCTCCTGATCCAGATCCAGCTCCACCACCAGCCCCGCCCCCCGCCCCCCCCCCCCCTCCCCCTCCTGATCCAGATCCAGCTCCACAACCAGCTCCGCCACCAGCTCCCCCCCCCCCCCCCCCCCCCGCCACTGCCTGCACCTCCTCCTCCACCTCCTCCTCCTGATCCAGATCCAGCTCCACCACCAGCTCCGCCACCAGCTCCGCCACCTCCTCCGCCACCTGATCCACCTCCAAAACTAATACCAGCCCCTGTTCCAGTGGATCCATCAAACATCGGAGCCTTGTTTTTCACAATGAGTCCTAGTTGAAGGTCCTTTACGTCTTCATAATTTACAGCCTGTAAAAAGACAAACAGAACAGGAATTACAAACATCCAAAATGTTCAAAGGATGAGCTAATTTAAGATCCAAAAAACCTCCAAACAATAACTTACTAGTTACTAGCAGTAGGGGGCAGCAGAGTATCGATTATGAAAGTCTGTTTTCGTTTGGCTATCCAAAGCCAAACCATCTTTTTGCTTTTTTTTTTTTTATAGCAAACAACTAGGTTTTTTACATTTTACAACAAGTTAACAATTTCAATTTCTTAAACTATTCGGGTAACATTTCTGAACAGTTTTTTTGGATTAGGTTTTTTTTCCTTGGGGATCTCTGTAAATGTATATTTTTTACAGACACCCATGTATTTCTGCAGTACCTTGTCGAGCATGAGTATGCCCTCGTTGGTGACGGGGTCTGTGGAGATACTGAAGTAACCGGCCTCGTTTCCTTTCACAATATCAAACACAGCCTCCCAGTTATCCGTGGCCTCCAGGTCCAGATCCTGGGCTTTGATTCTCATGACCTCCACATTCTGCGTGTTCTCCTGTATATCGCCCTCATACTGCAGGTTAAGACGGACACAATTTTAATTTCTTCACTTTAAAACATGTCATTTTTATTCATTAATTTCAAAGACTAAATAGAACATTACCCCTTCTTTTTCCAAAGTCGGAAGATTGTCGTTCACATCCTGGACTTTAACAGTCACGGTGGAGGTTGCAGTATTTCCTCCAGGTTTTCCGTCCAAGTCCTGGCCTTTCACGATCAATGTGTATTCATCTGTTTTCTGAGTGATAATGAAAATCAAATCAAATAAAACAGTTTGGCCACTTTTTTTTTACGTTGAATAGAAACACTGTTCCCGTTTCTGCACCTCTCTGTCCAGGAAGGGCTGTTTGACGTACAGGGTTCCGTCACCGGCCACTTGGAACAAGTCGTCAGAAGGTCTCTGACTGACCAAGCTGTAGAAGATCTTTGAATTGACATTACCGGGTTCATCAGCATCTGTAGCGATGATTTTCATGACCGAAGTCCCTGTTAATAAAAACAAAAACAAACAAACAAAAAAAAAGAATTAAACCTGAATCATTTTAAATTAAATGTAAAGGTTTTATTAAGACCCAGTGTCAGACACATTTTTCTACATTTATTGGAGAACTTTGTCCTTATAGGAAATTTTTTCTGATCCCCACTGAGTGAGGGGAGATTTTTTGTTAGGGTTAGGATTAAGATTATGGTCCTTAGAGTCCATTAGAGTTACTATAGGTCTTTAGATTATGTATTTATTAGTTAATCTTAGGATAAAGTTATCTGGAATTATTTTATATCATTTGGTTTCCTTGAAGGTAAAGATTAAACAGAAAGCAAAAAGCTTGCATATTCTCAAATGAGAGATATGGCTGTTGAGACTTTAAAGTTTTACTAAAGGCTCTGGGTTTAAAGAAGGACGGTTAGAAAATGGCCATAATGTACTCAAACCTTTCATACACCTAGAAAGAAGTTAGCAATTTACCAAAAAAAATATCTAAGGATGCTAAAGAGTACAATAATTAACCATTAAAGCAGAAGACGTACCAGCTGGACTGAGCTCCTTTACGCTTCCTTGCTGAGATTTTGCAAACACCGGCGGATTGTCGTTCTCGTCCAGTACCTTGATCCGTATGTCAATTTTTCTCTCTGCGTGTGTGCCGTCGGTGTACGTAGCCACCCCCGACATCTGAAAGGCACAAACACAAGCAGTGAACTTGTGAACTTGAACTGTAAAGACTATTCCCCAACTCTAACACTAAAACTATGGTTTGACCAGAAGGAAACTCACGTTGTAGTGACTGATCTCCTCCCTGTCCAGCTTTTTGGTCAGGCGAATGTACCCAGTGATCGGGTCGACGATAAACACATTGAAGGGATACTTGCTCGCGCCGACGCCTTCCAGGGAGTAGTGAATTCTATCATCTTTTTCATTGTCTGATCGAATCTGAAACAGGAAAAACATCACAAGAACATTTCACTTTTAAAGAACAAACCACAGCTTTGGACCCCTTGGCTGTATTATCCATTCACTACATGTCAGTACTTGACAAGGTTAACTCACCCTGGCCACATATTCCTCATTAGTGTAGTCTTTATTTTCTATCAGAGTCTTCGGGGGAATGACCCACTCTCTTTTTGTTCTCACCAGACTGGCTCCTGCCCTGGTCCTCACCACAACCACCACCTGGACCTGGAATACAACACGTAATGACATGCTATTACCACACAGTACTATGATTATGATCTTTGCAATCAGCTAGGGGAGTATAATTTATTTCTAAATAGTATCAGTAACTTTTGCGAACTTTTCTTGTCCTCACTCTCCATTGGTTAGACACATGGTCAATGTTTGGTTTTTTAACTTGTTTTATTTTCTTTCTTTTTTTAAGACCTTCAACCTAAAAAAGGTTAATATACAGCATGGAACTTGTATAGCAGGGGTGTCGGGACTGTTGAAATGAAAAGGCTAAAGTGATCTACCTACATTGAAAATGAAAAATATATATTTACTCCTTTAAACTGAACGATTTACTGGTAGATCCCCATCTACCAATTGGGCACCCCTTTAGTACAGCTAAGTTTCTTGGCTAACTTTTAGCTGTTATGTTGTAGGTTAGCCTGTGTCTGAATGATTTGTGACTCATTGTTAACTTTAAACACTGCAATTTTCCTTCTTCGGTTCGAAGCCACTCCTTTTGTTATAGCTTTAACAGCAGGTGAATAATGGTTAAGTGACGACTTTTAACGACAGTGTGAAACAGTACGAACACATTTTAAATCCTACATGATGTTTTTACAAGGGCAACATCTCACTTAACGGTTAATGGTTTTGTTTTAAGCCTAATCGAAACATGTGTCCCTGAGGGACTCACTTCAAAGTGAGTTATAAAGTCAATGTTTACATAATAGTATATAATACAAAAGTATTTATTACAGTATTGTTTTTTTATTAAAAAGATAGTCTGACTTTTTGTGCTAAATAGAAGTTTTTTTTGTGGCTGACCTTTTGTCATCTTTTGTTTTTTATTTCTCTGCTACCCTGTTGTGTTATGCTAACTCGGCTAATATCCTGTTGTAAAATGGTTCAAATAGAATGTTTTGGCTGCAATGATCTTTTACTTACTTTAGAACATATGTTTTAAACATTGTTAGCCACTTGTGCTACATATTTTAATTTAAGGTTTTGTCTAATCTTTAGCTATCGGCTAATTTTTTTTCTTTATTTCTTTTATTTCTTTTTTTGGTTTAGTCTTTATCTATTATATTCAATTTACGTGAATCATTCATTTTGTCACCATTTGAGTGAAACGTGTCATTTTTTCTGAACTTTGTTTTTCTGTCACTTAGAGGATGGAATGTTCTGAGGCTTTTCGTGAGGTTAAGGAGAAAACACACAATAACTCCAGGGTAAGAACTGATCAGCTCTAGACAAACCGGCTCGGTACGACCTCAGAGCTGACCTTTTGTAAAGCTAATACACAAATGTGGACATGGACAGGTGCATTTTCTCTGTCCCTGCTGCAAGGTGGGACTGAAATGTGACCTGCAGCTGTGACAGGGTGGAGTCGCTCTGACTGCAGGCTTGTGCTTTTTCACATCCTGAAAAACCAGAGATGCAGGCTGAACACGGTGATGGTCAGCAGCAGCAGCGAGTTGCTAATTTTAATGTTTAATGTTCAACAACAGTTCTCACTAAGCTTAGGGAAGTGTGCCAACTTTTCTGAAAATGTTGTATGGCTATTAAGGTCAAGGACGCTGTCACCCACGGCCGCCCACTTTAGAACTGTTCCCACTGCAGAAAACCACCAACCACATCTGCACCGTGTTGAGCGTGTTCTTTGGAGGCAGAAAATAAATCTGCCAGTAAATCCCTCTAATTCAAGAAAGAACAAATACCACCCACTGAGAACCAACAGGAAGCGAAAGGAACTGCAGGAACTCTGAGATTCAGCTCTGGTGTTCCTGCAGCGAGTTAGAAACTGCTGCAAATCAGACCATAACTAGTTGTCGTTTTTATTTGTGGATATTCTCATCCAGTCATCCAGGTCATCATAATTATTAGTTGTTGTTTAACAGGTTATCGACTTTAAGGCGTGTCATGTTTTATAACCTAATTTATTCACTGGTTGACTTTAACAGCCACACACAGACCAACGTCTGTCATACCCAACATCAAAACAGTTAACTTGATACACCCAGGAAATATATTTCCTGGTTACTTACATATAATATAATGTCAAAAATTCAATAATTAACAAACAACTAGTTATCTAAATTCTACAGAATTAATTACTCTTTTTTTTTTTTTCTGGCTCCCTTTAAAAAGTTACGACTTACTTTAGATCTGCGAGATACATTTACATTGTTTTGTAAATTAATATTGTGTAATTTTTTTTTACACATACATTTTTATTTATACGGCATGCAATGCCTTTTATTCCTGTTTGGATCCAAGCCAATTGCATTGTAATTTAATTGTGAGGACAAATCTAAATGGCTAATAAAGTAATTCTAAGTCAGACAAGACAAGTATATGAATAAATTCTGTTTATAAATAAATTGTTTTACACTTTCAAATTTCAGCTTTCCCAAGGGAAGACACCAATTTTCTCCTGCAGCGGCTGCTATAGGAGGCTAATGTATATGTTTAGTAGTCTGTTGTTATGGAATGTACAGTTAAAGTACAGTAGATTGCATGTCTTTACAGGCCAGGGTCGGGCCCTCGATGCAGCCCTGTTCACACCCTGCCACTCCTGGAACATGCATCCTCTTCAGAGGACGTTTGAAAAGAAGGGAGTGATCACATATACCAGTGAGTGAAAGAAAGAGCTGACGATGACTCACCGGTACCTGAGTGAAAAACAAAACAAGGAGTTAATGTAACTGAGTCAACACGGTTAATCTCCTTCTGAGAAAAGGTCTTACTGTAGGTAACCACAACTGAACATGGGAACTGCAGTGGAACTAGATCTGGTGCAAAGAAAAAGTCGCTGTAAAAACTAGTGGATCCAGTGTGGGTTTTCTCTGGAACTTCTTTCTTTTGGACCAGTGACACTAACCACAGAGTACAGTTCCTACATGAGTTGTGTACAGTTTATGTTGGCACTGGTTTTCTTTTCTTAGTTCTCTGGTATTTGCCAACTGTTACAAAGTAAATGAATGATTGATGATTCCAAAGCAACACTTCAGCCTCCAGGCTGGAAATGCAGTTGTAAATTGACACACAGTTCTTGACAGGATGATGGACCGTTCCCAACAGGAATTTAAAGTAATGTACAACTGAAGTCACAACGCAGTTCAACATCTGATTCAATCCACATAATGTGACAAAGACTGATCAATGTCTTCATTGATATTCAACAAAACAGCTGCTAATTTCTACAGAAAGGTTAAAATCCTGTTCTGCGTTTTCCTGAAAGCTTCTGTAACATTTGATCATGGTGTTTGTTGGGGCAGGTTGTCATGGCAGCCGTTAGGAACAATGGTGAACACCGGTGAGAAAGAAGAACCAAAACTAAAACAGTTTTCGTTTTTCATTCATAACTTCCTCATTATCATCATTTTACATTTGCACAGCAACAGTGACACAACTACAGAGTTAAAATACTGACAAACACACCGTCACACACACACACACGCCACACACAGCTTCAGGTGAAAAACAACATTCAGGTATGAAGAACAAACTCACCAAAAACAGCAGCAGCACAAACCCAGGAGAGGAAACCCGAGTCATGAGTGGAGGATTCCGTTTGTCCGTGTGTCAGGAGGCAGAGGTAAAGTCCAGGTGAGAGCTGCCGACTGACTGAGCAGAGGGAGGAGAGGAGGTGCTTTATGACAGAAGGAGAGAAGAAGAGGAGTGAGAGAGGCAAATAGGGGTGGGGGTAATATTGGGCAAGTGAAGACTCCAGTCTGTACTTGATCAAATTCTTACAGAAAAATGTAACCAAACATTTTTAACCTTGGAGTTTTTTTTAGCTAAGATTTTGAAAGTTTTTTTTAGGGACATTCTGGTGAAGTCACATGTAATGCACAATTCAGGTCCTAACATATAGGACACACGTCAGAACATGACAACTATTCAGTGACGTGCAGTGAAGAGCGTTACCTGGGGTATTTAATATGAATACAATAAACACATGACATGCACATACAGTAAGCAGACAATCTTGGACAATCCTTAGGAGTCCTGATTTTGACCAATCAGAGTCCACCTTTGTATCTAGATCAATCTCATCTCTCATATTAAGTTTTTTTGGTGCAGCCCCGGTACAGGAGGGAACAAAAGACGATAAAATATTTTGTGGTTGAGTGTGGAGTGTAAATCTGTGTCAACTTGTTTTTAGTAAATACAATGATGTCAGATTCTGGAAATCAGAAGGTATGAGTTTAAAGAATCCCGTGCTAATTGAAATACTGTTGAGAACCTAATAACATGTATATTTTCATCTGCACAAACCACTGTATGAGTTGCTGCCACCTAGTGACTGGAGGCTTGTTATCATTCAAGCATTACAGCAGTGGTACAGTACACTTATGTCCAGGGTGCCATATTTGATTGGAAGCCCCCCATCCCCCATCCCCCCGGCACTCTACTATTTGAGAAGTACTGGTCCATGTGAAAGTTTCCAGAATAAATCCTTGTTGTATTTTTATTCATTCGTCCCGTTGGTGGTGTTGGTTCATGATGCACTGGCTCTTCACCTCTGTCAGCTTTGATAAAACAATAATTCACTTCCTGCAGCCAGCAGAGTCCTCAGAGGCATGGGATAAAAACAAAAACAATTTTTTTGAGCTCTTATGTTTAGTCAGCACTTTGAACTCCTGTGACACTGACTCACACCGATCAGGATGATCAGATAAATAAAAAATAATCTGTCTGGACTGGTGTTTACTGGATTTGTCATTTCAAAAACTCCAGATGTTTTTCTTCATTTTGTTGAGAGCTGAGAAAGTCGATGGCTCTCAGGTGTAATTCCAGAACGATTTTTAAGATAATGGAGTTACGCCCTGAGAAAACTATGACTAAGACCAATTTAAGGATTGATGAACAATGCAGTGTTTGTTGTCACTCTCTCACGTCACTGTCATGTGTGAGAAGCCCTGACTGTAGCATGTTCTGCCACTCCCTCGTCATGAGTTAGTCATGTTGTGGACCAGACAGTAGTTTCAACCAAACAAATATTTTCAAGACAATAGAAGGGCCACGATTCTGTTTATATTTGAAGTGAAATGGTGAGGCAGTATTCAACACTGCCATGAAATAGGGACAATTACTGTCCCACGCAGAGGCCGATGTGATCTATTAGATTGGACAAAACGTCAATAACTGGAAACAATTGGACATTACTTGTAAAAAAGGGCAGAGAAGTTGAGTCTTCTGCTGGTCAGATCAAAAGGGAAGTGAAAGACACCTTTTCTTTTCTGTAACCTCGGTAATTAAAGAAGTCACATGATCCTTAACTTTTGACTACCGCAGAACAACCCCAGTAGTCAACAGGTGGAGAGAAAGAACATTTATACAAAATTACATTTGCCCTCTATCTTTACCCATCAACCCCTAGGGAGCCGTGATTGCTGAAACGCCCAGGGAGCAAGAGTTTTGGTGCTGAGGGTGTGGTCCCTCCCTACGGTTACATGCAGGTGTGTCTGTCTGTAAATCATGACTCACCGATGATTTTGTCTTGGCACCAAATCTAAAATGCCTGTGTTGTGTTCTGAAAGTGACTGTACATATGTTGATGCCTTTAGCGAACTGAAACGCAGGCGACGTCCAATAATTTTGACTAAGTCACAACAGCAACAAGTACTTGGCTCATGCATGAATAACCTACTTCCTAATCTACATGACGTGGCACAAGACAAATGCAGATGTCTGACATTCACAGACTGACGTCGACACTTTAATTGTTCTTACTTTCATCGCCGACTGAACATCCTTAGCTGAAAAAGACTTGTTTTTCACAAATGCCACAGAGTTGATTATATATATATTTTTATAAAGAGGTTAAGAGTTTTTCTTGAACTTTTCTGGCATAAAAAATTTACCATCAATCACCAAGATAAACGTACGTGTTTAGGTTCTCACAAATGACAGCTTATATAAAGGTATCGTTGTATGTCAAGAATCGAACAAAGACTTTTCTTATCACTGCTACACTTGAATCCCGCAGTATCACCTTAATGCAAAACTGCTGTAACCATGGACACCAAAGTTAATGCTACCTCTCAGTCCCGGTACGAGCCACAGTGGAGGACATAGTTCAGGAACTAAAAAGTTTTCAAATGTTGTACTGATCTGCGACTTGAGCAAAAAAGCAGAAAAATACACAGAATGTTTTTTGTGGTTTGAATTTGTGTCAACCAAAATCCACATAAAAGCCTTTGGTGTTTTATGGTAAAATGTATGTATTAACAAAAATTGTCCATAGGTGGGTCACATGATTTTCCTTTGTCTGCCTTCTAACACGCAGCCTATGCATGGACTTGTGCGGAACAAACATTCTCTGCAGGTACATTCCTCTATATGTAGATGAAGGTGGGAAACTGCAGTTATAGTGTGAGAGCTGAGTCATAGCCATCAGACCTGTTGCACATGTGAACATCAGTAAAGCCTTTTGACAAACAGACAATTCCTCCATACTGGCTGAAAAACAGGTTTTCCAGTTTTCATTAAACAACTAAAAACCACAGGTTCCGGCTGCTGACGTTCTATAGTGAGATCCTTAAAGACCCACCAGTTAAAGTTAACCTCCAACAGTTTATGGGAAATCAGTCAAGTCTCGTCTTGTATAAGAGAATCATGCAGCTCTGATACAAGTTTTAATAAAGTTAGACATGTCTGAGCTGTGACTGAGGCCTTCTCTTAGCACCTGGTCCCAGTTCAAATGGACTGGAGGTCCGCTCACTCTCAACAATTCACATCCACAGGCAACTGGTTCACATGGTTTTGGAGTCACAATTGAAAAGATTTGTATCTTCTTGGAATTCTTTCAAAGATCAAGAACAATTAATTGGCCGACCGTTAGGAGAAAAACAGGAAAGATGAAGTTCAAAGACAAAGGCTGAACCGGAGAGTTCAGGTAAGGACTGGTATGAGGAGCACCGCAGATGTTCAGACGAGTTGAACTGAAAACATTCATTATCTGTTTCTTGCCCAGACAGTACAGACGGCACCTTGGCACCAAATGCTCTAAATAGAAATACTACGTGATGCAGAGCCTGTGTGACTGCCAAATCAGTCAATACAGTAGAGTTTTACTCGTGTGTCATCATAGACAGTTTATACAGTATTTTTTAACAAAGAACTCATGAGAAAAAGTAAATTTTGAAAATATTCAAAATTATGACAGTTTTTCACAGGTTCATAATACTTAATTGGAAAGGCTGTCTATGTCACTAGCATACACTCAGGATTCACTCATACTAGCGCCAATGCCTCCGTCCCTGACTGCGCGAAGTGGTGATTGGGAGCCAACCATGCTGCGCTCATACAGAGACTTTGCCCAGGCAGCACGAAACATACGTAACCTAGGTTTTGCGTACGTGTTACCAAGTGTTCAACGCTTTGACCCATAGAATCACAACTTTAGTGGTCAAACGTGTTTGTTATGGGGAGAATTTGGTAGAAACATGTCAGTTGAAAAAAAGACTTACTTTTAGAGGCAGGAGAGATTCACTGAATGCTACGACATAAAAACAAGGATTTTCTCTATGGACTCTGGTGGTGGAAAAATGTCAGTGTACATATCCAATCCCTACAATGACTTCACTCCGATTGTTATTTTGTAGGTGTGTTTGTGCCTGTAGGAAGTACTGGTACAAATAGTCTCATCTTCAACACTGGCACTCATTCACAACCGTCCTGCTGCTGCGCCGTACACTGAAGGCTGACACGACGCATGTGGAAACACAAACACATCAGACAGACACTGCCAGCCGGCCCCACCCTGCAGTTTTCACAACAAATGTCACATGAGCCATGCATATGGTTCTGGGCCGGAGTTACGGCGGTGGATTTGGAAACTGTCAAATTAATTTATAACCTGTAGAGAGGAATGCAGCAAAAACACTTTCTCAACAGTGAGTTTAAAATGACACAGTGTGAAGATGTATAAATTTAAATTCTTTTTAAGGGTTATTCCCATCTTTGAAAGTTTTAACTTTCTATGTAATTGATTAAAAGAGTGAGAGACATAGAGAGAGGGAGAGAGAGAGAGGGGGAGAAGGAGTTTTCTTGTTTTTTTTCTTCTTTTACTTAAACTAGAACAGGTTTCACAGATGCTGACAGACAGAGAGAGAGTGAGAGAGAGAGAGAGAGAGTGCAGTTGCAGCACGCCTGTCTGTTTATTAAGAGCTCATCTGCTCTGCAGTGGCTGACACGCCCTGAAAATGATCCTTATTCATTTTTCTCCATGGTTTCTCACATATGTCAATCATGTTGATTTGTGAGTCACAGCACTATTAATGTGTTTAGTGTGTATGTATGTGTGTGTCCATTGAAGCTACTTGTGGGGACTATTGTTGTGCGCGTGTGTCCATTGAAGCTACTTGTGGGGACTGTTGTGCGCGTCGTCACAGGGACATTTTGCAGGTCCCCATTGAGTGAGGGGGTATTTTGGGCATGAAGACGTAGTTTGTAGTCAGGGATAGAATTTTAGAACCAGAGAAATGATTAACATTAGGGATATATGTGTAGTAGTGCAGGTTAGGGTCAGAGCCTAGGGGATGTATTTTGGCAATGGAAAGTGCGGAAAAGAAAAACAGGTTTATGTGTGTGTGTGTGTGTGTGACCTCGTGCACTTAAAAATATTTCTGGTCGGGGTAATTGGCCCGACAGTGTGTTGTGTCTATGTGATCTGCTTAAGCATAAAAACCAGTGTCTGTGTGTGTGGTGGCGTTGGTGGTCTGTGTGTGTGAGCGTGTGTGTTTTTGGTATGTGTTTTCCAGGTCACCGTACTCTTCAGCTGGTAATACCAGGCATGTCCTTTCACATACAGTACCTTCCTTCCAGTCTGACTTTCACTCGACTGAAACCTGAGACCTGAGTAAGGAGAAACCTGTGGCGCTGTAACCTGAGAGCTGAGGTCAGGCGCAGCAACAAAGACCACTCTGTGTCCAGAATAATGAAGGGTTTCAGAAAAAAAATACTACAAACATAGAGTACAAATGGATGAAAAGGTGATTTTAAATGTCACCACTTTGAAATGTTTCTGCGGTTCATCTGGAACGATCTGTGACAACTAAAACAGTTTTTCATGTAAATAGAGTTCATTTTTAATTGAATTCAACACTGGTTTGTATCATATTTTGTAGAATTTCTTTTGGCTAAAGCTTGTAAACGTCTGGTTTCCAGCTGCAGTACAGTTCAGATATGTTATTCCCAAACAGGCGTGAGGTGTGAAGGGTGGATTCTCAGGGTGGGGCCCATGTTTCAGCTCCAGTGTTGAAGTTTAAATTTAAAGCCGCAGGGCGTTCATGTTCAGTTCTCCTCAACTTTGGCAAACACAACTGTCAAGAATTACGACTACACGTAACATGTAAAGTGGAGACGCCAGGCACTGAACTCCTGACCTTCCAGTTGCAGGGTTCAAATATGAGGAGTCACTTTTACTTCTGACAGTTTTCCAGCAGATGGCGGTGTTGTCTTTGAGTTCACCTCACTTCTTAATGGAGCAGCCAAAGCAGACAAGACAGAGAATAAAAACGTGCTCTATGAACAGCAGCAAACTGAGTCTGGATGTGAATTTAACAGTGAGAAAAGCAGTGGTGGCTTAGTGGGTTCGGAAGGTTTCAGGTTCAACTCCACCAGCTGCCAAGTTACCACTGAGGTGCTGTGAAGATGCCACCGTCCCCAGTGGCGTCACAATGACAAGGAGTTCACTTTATTAAAAAA